TCACTCAGGAGAAAAAAAAAAAAGGCATTCTGCTGGATTGGTTGCTCAGTCCCTGTGCAGCTACAGAAATATTTGTGGGCAGACAAGAGAGCTGAAATGTGTGGCTAGGGAAAGAAGGCTGGGATGGATTCTTCTAGCTGCAGAGCCAGCTTATAGCAGTCACGGAGCTGAGGTGTTAGTCTCCTCCACCTGCTGCTTCACAGCCTCTCACCCTCATTGTGTACTTCACACTGGAGTCATTCAGGTTCCTCCCCTAGTTTCCAGACCCATCAGGGAGCCCTGGAAAAACAAGGGAAGGATACCAGATGTGGCTTGAGGCAGCCACTGAAGATCCCACCTGGGTCCAGGCTGGAAGTGTGGCATGAGCCTTCAGGAAATTTGACTGCAGTTCTCCAGCAAGGTCATGCTGACCCCTTGGCTTCTCACAGGCTTGCACTTTGAGCACCTGGGAAAGATTTTAAGAAGGTGGGACAAAGCAGTCCTCTCTGCAAGCTTCAAGTTTTCTTCTCTGAAGCATGTGAACACTAGTTTCTCTAAGGAAAAACAAACAGCTTCTCTTTATTGCTGAGTCAAATGATCTGCTATTCTCTTCTTGCCAAAGGAGCAGAACCACTGTGAATTAATTTTTCCCAAATGTTTTGAAAAGTAGCTGTGTCTTAATGAACTGAAAACACTAATAGAAGATGCTGAGGAAATAAGAACACTGGTATCATCCATACTTAATCTCTTCTGTTACCCGTATAAGGAACATCAAGCATTAATTAAAACTGTGAGTTAAATAATATGTTCCATGATATCCAATACATAGTGTTTTCTTTTTGATGTACAAAATGTCATATTGTTCTGTGATAGGAGTTTAAAATGTATCCCTTATTTAAAGCAGGGCGGATTGTAGGTCTTTTATCTTAATCTCTGGGCATTATTACTAAATTCAGCATCAACACTGTGCTTCCCTATATAAGCTGATTGGGCAGTGGGATGTGTTCATTAACCTAGAAACTGATTTTTCAAGAATACCAGGTTGTTACTTATAGTTACGCAACCCTGTTGTCAGGCCACAATTTGGCCAACCTCCTGTTCCCTCCTCTCTATCAGGTTTAATTGCTTGCTTTCCTACCAAAATGCTTTCAGCATGCTGAACTCTTTGATGTTAGCTACGGGATAGGGTTATGAAACTCTGACTGGGAGGCCTGGTGTGTTCTGGTAAGCTTTGTATATCTCACTGACAACATATGGAAGAGATAAAAATGTATCTATTTTAGAAACACCAATATTAAGCTCTTTTCATACCAATAGTTTACATCAAATTGCCCAGTGCAGTAAGGGAGCTCTCCATCAGCATTCCCTGCCCTGCCATCTTGGCCAGGAGGCATGCTAGTGGGGAGAGGAATTCATTAGAATGAGAGGGAGAGATACAAGCCAACAAACTGCTCATTCAAGTGGCTTACTTGGAGCAATCCTGAAGGTGCTGTAATAAATACGATACGCTTTGTGATAGCCCTTACAACTGATGGGAGAGTGTAACACTTTTCCCTTCTTTCTTTTCTGAGCTTATCTACTGCACCAAGCATCTCCTCATGTACCACAGACTAATATTAGGTGTGCTAAGTCCAGACCAATCTTGTATTGTGGTTACCAGTGAGGTTATTAATACTGCACTCATCAGTCTGTAAATACACAGTCTCTGTTACAAGCTTACCATGAGGTGCCATGTCTCCCTAAGAGAACTATTAACCCAGACAGATGGCATTGATCAGTGTGCTGAGCCATGGCTAGCTCTGCTCTCACATCTCTCCCAGATGGCTGGGTAAATAAGCACTTGCTCATGGGGAAATACCCCAGAAGGTACAATGTAGAGAGACTATTCTAGGCTGTTGGGCAGAACAAACTCACTGACATGGACATCCCTTATTTTCTTTAGTGTGGATGAGTGCCCTGGGGCTGTGCGGAGTGAGGACAGTGTAGCCTGGGGTGGCTGAGGAGCCTGCCACCATCAGTTGTTGCCCCTGCCCAAAGAACAGGCTGCTCATAGACAGCAGCTGAACCACATGTTCAAGAGCACCATGCTTTAAAGGAAACCATTGCCAAAAGATGTCACTAAACTGGGACAGCCTCCGAGCTGAATCAGAAATGACTCAGCCATCCGTGCAGCAACAGGACAGTTACTTGGGCAACAGCTTCATCAGCCGCCTCTGAGATAGGCCATCCTCTTGCACCAAATGCTGTTTCTGAGGACGACCACATACTCACACAACCTACAACGAGCACCCCCAGTCAAGAAAAGCCATTTCCCTGCCAGTCACAAAGGAGCCTGCATGTTGGTTTTCCATTTCTGTATCAGCTGTGCCCCATGGCTTTCCAGTTTTGAGCTTCCCTGTTGGCACTCAGAGAAGGATGTCCATACAGAAATCATGAGTGAGACTGCAGCAGCCAATTTTGATGTTTTTTCTAGAAAATATTGATTATTTGTAAGCTCCCACCCCAGCCCTCTCCTTCTCTACCACTTAATGGACTAGACTGCTCCAAAGAGGTATTGGAAACCACCAGCTGATGGCCAAATGGCTTTGCTCAACCAGCGGGAGGGGAGACTGGAGTGGCTGATGGCCTTACATTTGTGAATACAGTGTGTGAAAGGACACACACTTTTTATATGGTTTTACCATCTCTTGATTTTGTTAGTCTGGTATAAGATATTATTTGCTTTTAGTAACCTGATTATTTTAGAGAACCTCCTTGAAGTAAAGACAAGCCACACAGCATTTCCTTGGTCAAATTTCCAAAATTCCAGTAAAGATCCCCATTACATCCATAAATGTGCTCATCTGTAACTTGACCAAACATACTGAATGAAGTATAGAGAGAAGAGGATGAAGTATTTAATTCTGCTTCCCACCAGTGAGAGTTGGCTATGGGAAGAATATACGGTAGGATCGAGAAACCCTCTTCCTTACCAGGAATCTAAAAAGCAAGTGCCATTGCTACATCCATCCATAATGCTGATGAGAAACACTCACCAGAACAGCAGGTATGCAGTGACAGTAACAGTAAACTTACTTTAAGCCAGGTCACTTGGGTTAAGATCTTTGGAACGCAGAGAAGTACCAGCATGACTTCTAAGTCACGGAGTGTCATTTTCTTGCCAAAAGCCCAATATCACTCTGTTTCATTCTGCAGCTGATCTCTCTTGAGGATACTCTCACTGAAGAGAGGGCAATTTAGTACTACTCTACAAGCTCATTTGATTCGGTGGAGTAGCATCTTCTCTTTTCAATACAGAAAGTCCCTCTGTACACACTTTAAGTCATAAAACTGAGTTAATAACAATTTCCCTTGGAGAGCTCAAGTTTCATCTGGAAATAAAGCTGAAGAAATGCCTCTCCTGGGACCTCTGATTTGTTAATTCAAGGCTTATGTCTCCCCTCCTGAATGTTCTAGTGCCAGTATTCATTATCACATTGCCAGATGCATACAGGTACACTGCCATCACTCCTTATCACCTCCCATGGCTTCTCACATCTCTCAGGCTCAGCAACAAGGAGCCACTGTCTTGACAGGAGGGGCCGTGGTTGTGTTCAACTCTGACCAGCTGGCAGGCAGAGTCTCCAAACACTGTAACTCTGTATGGTCTTTGCTATTGTGAACAATGAGACAATTTAGATATTAGGAGGAAATTCTTCACTATGAAGGTAGTGAGACACTGGAACAGGTTGCCCAAGGAAGTTGTGGACACCGTCCACTAGACGAGGTTGCTCAAAGCTCCATCCAGTCTGGCCTTGAACACTGCCAGGGATGGGGCAGCTACAACTTCATCCCATGTTTCTCTGGGCAACCTATTCCAGTGCCTCACCACCCTCATGACAAAGAATTTTTTCCTTGTATCTACTCTAGATCTCTTTCTGTCATCTTAAACCCATCACCCCTTTTCCTGTCACTATATGTCCTTGTAAAAAGTCCCTCTCCACATTTCTTGTAGGCCCTCTTTTAGGTACTGGAAGGCTCCTATAAGGTCTTCCCAGAGCCTCCTCTTCTCCCAGCTGAACAAGCCCAGCTCTTTCAATCTGTCTTCATAGGAGAGGCTTATGATCATCTTTGTGGCCCTCCTAAAACAATTACGTATACGTATATGTGTATGTATATGTATATAAAGCACTATAATTACTACCACCTTTTTTACAAACACCCTTGTGTGGCTGAACAGCATTCATTCTCTGTGCAGTTGGTGGCATTTGTTTCTCATGATTTTCATTTGCCTTTTCCAGACCCTTCCTCTAATCCAAAAATTCTTTTAATTTACATCCCAGTCCCCCAAAACCTTCGGAGTCTCTTCTAGCCTTGAGTCATCTCACGTTAATACTCCTCAGCCATCACTGGTCGTTCATGGAAACACAGGGCCAGACGTGGAGGAAAGATGGGTGCAGCCTGCCCAGTGCATTTGTCCATTTTGACCTCAACCTTTGCTAGCTGCTGATTCCCCAGCCAGTTTTGTACCTATTCCAGAACTGCTTCACGGCCACCCTAGACCACATTTCCCTCACTGGATATGACAGCGGAAAAGGCGCAGCACGGATGGATGCAGACTAGAATTGCTTTTATCACCTACACACGGATATCGGTGCCTGAGGGTAGGAGCAGCCCAAAGGTGTGAGGCTTTCTGCCCAGGGCGCTGCGGGACCACGTTCCCCCCAGAGCAGGGCAGAGCGCACCACCCGCGGCGCCGGGGCCGCTGCCGCCCGCCCGACACTGCGCTGCCGGGTCGCCCGCGGCGTCGCCCGCCTGGGGTGGGCCCCTGGGCCGGGGCGGCTGCTCCCGAGTGCACGGCGGGGGTCCTCGCATGAAGCCCGGCCACAGATCTCCCTATGCCGGTCCCCGCCCGCCCCCCCCCCCGAGGCGGCCCCGCTCCCGTCCGGAGCCCCAGCCGAGCGCCGCTGAGCCCACCCCGCACGAAGCCTGTCGGAGCCCCGGCGGGCGGGCAGGGCCCCGGGGGAGAACCGCGCCCGTACCGGTAGTAACGGTCATCCTTGTAGGGGGTGAGGTCCTCCTTGATCTCGCGGTAGGTCTCCCGCACCCGCCGGCAGAAGCGCTTAACCTCGCCGCACAGCGGGCTCCCGAAGGCGGCGAAATCCGCCTCCATGCCGGCCCCGCCGCCGCCTCAGGCCCCGCGCGCTGCCATGGCGCCCCGCTGCAGCACGCCCGGCGCTGCGCGGCCGCGGGCGGCGCAGAAACCGCGGCGGCAGCTAGGGGCGGGCCCTGGCCGGGACGGCGGGAGCCGCTTCAGCACCACGGACAGGGGCGGGCAGGGCGCGGGGGCGAGTTGAACGTGCCAGCAGTGCATAATACCGACGTCCCGGTTGTTATGGCCTGTTTTACCCAACCAAATGGGGCCAGTTTGCACCGCCAAGGAAGGCCTCACATATGCGTAAAAGGCATCCTGCGCTCAGTCTGCTTCTCGTGGTCATAACGCCGTAAGTGCTCCCACGTCAGGAATAAAGCTGTCTGGATTTTCAGACTGGCTCCTGCTGACCTCCAGCCGATTTGCACAGTGTCATGCCAGCTTCAGTTGTGTGTTAAGCTCTTCTTCATGAACGAATTCACATTGAAACCCTGTTTTAAATTATTCTGTTAATTCAAACCTTAATAATTCCCATGAATTAATGGAAATGATAGTGTCTGTATAAAACATGAAAATATTTTACTATTGATATGTTGTAATTGTTTCTAGAGAACATGAACATAGAAGTCTCCTATTCTGCCCCTACCATGTAAATATCTTCCCCACTGGTGTTCAGGAAGTTGGCTGGGTTACTTCCCAGCCTTGCCACCTAGTCTGAATTTTATCACATACCAAGGCTGGAACATGCACTTTCACTTACAGTCCCCCTTCAGTACGGCACCAATAGGTGGTGACAAGAGGCTGGTCCTGGTGGGGTAGAGACAGAGGAAGGGTCACCTCTGACTGAGACTTTCTCTTCCCTAGTTCTGAATATTTCCAAGCCTGGGAAGAGGCAGCAGCAGGATGAAAGCCACATGCACAGTTAGGCTGGATACGAGAAGGCTCCTACCAACCATGGTAGGGTTCAGGAGCGGCCTCCAAAGAGAAGCAAAGAGCCCAGCCAGAATTAAGGCAAAGCTCAACCAGCTTCTGAGCAGCTGCTTTGAAACCTGGCTCAGGCTCAGCTTCTCACACTTCTGTGACTGTCTGTACTGTACAACTCATCAGCTATGACCCTACTTGCTACAGTACCTGTGGCTCATGCACTCATGTGGGGTCTTCCCGGAAGTGTTTATTTCATGGTAAATGTTTCATTTGTGACTGAGACTTACCCATGTTTCCCTCAAAGTAAGAATTAAAATTCTTTGTTATGTGTGACAAATATGCTCCTTCCAGCTCTCAGGCTCAGAGGCAGGAATTATAAATCAGATCTTTAAATATTTACCAAAAGGAGAAAATAAAACATCTGAGGCTTCAGCTGAGTAAAAAAGCATTCACTGCTGGGAGTTACGCAGTTATACAGCAAAATAATAAAAAATAGGTTCAGTGATTAAAAACTTAGTACCATTTAATTACTTACAACTAAGTGACCTCTGCTGCATCTATTAAAAAACCCAACCAACCAATAACAACAAAAAACACTAAACCAACTAAACCAACTAAGCAACCAAACCCCAAAACCAAACCAGGGTTTGCTTGAGGGCCCAAAGCATCACGATTCCAGAGATGCAGTCTGGTTTCCCCCATGTTGTGCTGAACATTATGCAGACCAGCTTCAGACTGTGTTTGTCCCCCACACTTTGAGTGCTATGGGAGGAAATCACACTCACTATGGAAGGCTGACAATCAGGCCTGCAGGTTACTCGCACAGAGAAGGTGTTACCTCTGGCCATATATTAACCCTCCAACTTCAGCTATTAAAAAACCTCAGCAAAATAGACAGTGTTTAACTAACAATTACCAGACATTAAGGATTAAAATTACTAGGCTTGTGAATAGTGAAGTTTGTGTGAAGAAGCAAGCTGATTGCATATTTCCGTTGTGGTTCAGATTAAACACTCAGATACTCTGAGGTCAAGAATTCATTTTGAGTCTCCAAAACACTTTAACATGTTGCTAAAAACAAGCAACACACAGAGCTGTATGCATGTACCAGCATGCAAGTCAAACATTTTCAGTGCAGAGGCAATGACTAGGCACTGAAAGCATGCAGAGCTGCCCTGGCTGTGCCTCCTGCAGCCAAGGAAAAACACAAGGACTAAAGATATTGGTGGTCTGTGAAGCTCAGCCACCAGAAAGTGATTTTGAGAAAATGACACTTTAGTTACAAGTGTGGCCTGCTGCTTTTTTTGCTGTTGTTAGAAGTGCTGCCCTTGGTACATAGTACTAATTCTAGGTAACATTTTAAAAGTTAAAAACAATTAGCTTCCATCCAAACACTTTCTTTAAAGAAATTTCAGGATTTTTTTTTTATTAAATAAGAAAAATAGTAAAATAGACCTCTAATATTAAATAGGCATTCCTGTTAAAACTGCCGATCTATTTGCTCTTGTCAAAACCTAAAGAATGGAACATTTCAATTAAGCGTTCACTCACCCACAGCCCTGCAGATGCCAACACATCACACTTCCACATTTACTGGTTGTCCTTCTTTCCTGTCCAGAGCAGTCAAGGCACAGATTGGGCTGGCACAAAAAAGCATTTGGTTCTGCAGGAAGCACAGCTTTAGTAGAAGCAAAGGGAAGACAAGGCTTCATAGACAGCTTTGCAAACAAGGTGCGACTGTAACCAACAGTTCACCTGAATTGGGACTCTGCTCTAGGGTACGACTTGCTTCATTAATTTCAGAGCACCTTCACTCACCTATCAAAGCCCAGCACCTTCTGTGTCAACCTTGTTTTCCTGTTTTCCACAACACAATAAAAGAGAGGCAGCATCTGACTGCATTGATGAACAAACTAATCTAATATTGACAGGCCCATAAACCTCAGTTAGAATTTAAGCATCTGGAACTCAGTTCATCCCCCAGTGAATTCTGCCAAGTGTTTCTGGGCTTCACAAGGGAGAGACAGGCCCCAGGGGTCTAAGACTAAGACACGATCAAACTCAACATCTGTTCAATGCACTGGTATCACATCACAAGGACAGAGTTTGAGTGTGGTGCCTAACAGAAGTCCCCCATGTAATTCTTCTTCCTGATTCTTCCCCCTCCCCCTGTGTATAATTAGCCTTCTGCAGCATTAGCCACGCATAGTAAATTGGGATCATAGCTAAATACAAAGCTTGGCAATCCACTTAAAAGCACCAGGAATATCACTCTATGCAACTGTAGCTGGTGCTGAGAAGTTAAAGAGAATAAATGCTGCCAACTCAAGTCCCCCTTTTTTCATCAAAAGAACAAAACACACAAACAAGCAGAAGTCCAGCTGCTTGACAAATACTTTCTGCTTCAAACCTGTTTTGAGCTGGAGAAAGACAGTAGTGGCAGCTGCTGCCTGGAAAGAGCAATTGCCTTTTTTTCCCTTCTGAATGGAGTTGAAGCCTGGCATATCAGATGGCACATAAACCAGCACATATCCAGACTGACTCTCACAAGACAAGAGAGTCTGTGCTACTGTTATACAGCTGCAAATATGCTTCTGAGTCTCACCATATACAGGAGTTATCACTGATTACTTCCGAATCGCATGAGTAGAAACTGCTGAGCCCCACAGGAACCTCAGGCCTTTGGTCCACCCTGTGCTCTTCACATCACCGCTGCCTTGATTTTGGAAGATAATAACCCCTGCCTTACCCCAGGCCAGCATGGCTTGACTGTCTCCTCCTGTCAGAAAGCTGTTTTGTCACAACCAACCAGTTATGTGATGACAACTGTTGTCACGTAGCGGTTCCTGTGCATGCAGGGGATCACAGCAGCGTGTTGGGGATGGAAAGATGGGGAAGCTCAGCGGGAGCACGGCACTCACTGTGAAGTAAGGCTTCTGATTTATTTGAAGTGGTGACACAGAGACATCAGCTGGGACATCTCCTGACAGATCATCCATAACAAACCATCTCTGAGCTGACAGGCGCTTTGGAGCCACAGCTGCTCTTGTCATCGCTGGGAGGAATAAAGCTCGACACAGCTGGCCACAGATGCAGTCCTGACCCTCACAGCAGCAGCAAGAAAGCCTCATCTCTCTCTCTTTGTATTCTTGGAGATGAATCTTCCCGGAATTGATCCTGCTTTGAAGAGATGTGAGGACAAGAAAATAAAATCAGATTTGTAATCTCTTTTGATGAAAATTTAAGAAGAATCTCTTGTGAGGTGTTTTCAAGGGTAGCAAAGAGGAAACGCGCATCACTGCACATGAGGCACTGCACCCCATCATACAGCATGTCATTATTCTGCACCCCAGACATCATGTCATTATTCAGGTAGAAGACTTCATTATACTTTCCCATCATTTATAATACTTCTGTTTCTAAACTCTTTTCTGTACATCTCAAGGGAAGCAATTAAAACTAACATGGAAATAGTGAAAAGCACCAGACATTTTGGAAAACCTCTCCTTTTAGAAGCAGTTTTTTGCCTGCATGCACAGACACACATAAATTAATAGTATGAACCTTTGGGTACTGCTAGATCTAACTAGAAACATGCAGTATCAGCAGGGTCTTATTCTGTGCTTGGGGATCTCCTTTCTCCAGCCTGTCATTTCTGTTCTGAACCACAAAGCTGAATACTCAGTTACAAATAGCATGTGGCATTTTTTTTCAAAGTAATAGAAAAACATCAATTGTACAGGTTTTGCAGCATGTGTTTGCAGCCCACTAGAGTGGATTAGCTCTTGCTTGCACAAACCAACAAGTGTGTCTCCTGCTCTAGCCATTTAGGACTACAGATAATTTGCAGGATTTGGGCATATTTCTAAACTCCTGGGCTTGGGCATATGTCTGGCTAAATCATGAACCAAGACCTTGGCAAATACTGACCTCCAGAGCAAATTCGCGTTTTGTCATTGCATGTTTCACACATTTACCTCTTCATCTATCCAGATGCATTTAACTAAAGCAGTCTTGATTGGAGCTCTTCACAAGATGGAGAATCCACTTCTTTGAGCTTGTTCCAGTGTTAATAATTTTCATCATTACACGTGTCCTGCTTCTTTTAGTAATTTTCTTCAGCCCCAAGTCATTACTGCTTGTTGTGTCTTTCCCTGCTAAATTAAAGTGCC